CGCAGACCCATTGATCGATTGAACCCGGATCAAGTACATAAGCTTCCTGTAGGGACTAGTGAGTTTGCAGTCCAATATCAGAAAGACATTGAAAAAGTAAAAGAAAATATACTTAAAGCACAGCATCAAATGATTGAACAGGCAAATAAACACAGACGCCCGTCTCAATTTGTTGTAGGAGATTTGGTTTGGGTGAAGTCTAAAGAGTTTGCTCCTGAAGAGAACATCTCTCAGAAGCTTCTACCCACCTACCGAAGACCTTGGAAGGTTCTAGACGTAATTGAAGATGTGGATGGTCCTTCGTATGTCATTGGGATTCCTCCTCATCTACGTACATATCCAGTGTTCCATGCATCCAAGCTTTTACCTTGTGTAACGAATGAGCTCTTCCCAAGTCGCCGGTCGGCGATACCTCCAAGTATGGATGGGAAGTATGACGTGGATAAAATTGTTGCGGAAAGTACTTACCACACTGGACGTAGAGGCAGACCACAACGACAGTATAAAATAAGGTTTGCATATCAAGATCCAAGTGAAGATCGCTGGTTTACAAGAGAGGAACTGTTAGATTCTGCACCTCATATTGTGTCTSCATACGAAAGTGCAAAGAGAGGAATTCATATCATTGATAGGTAAATGATTCTCAGAGGACTTCGAAACTAGGCCGGCGAGAGTAAAAGGGCCTTTACCCGATATAGGCCTCAGGCCTTGTAAATATAGAGCAGCACGGGCCTTGTAAAAGTAAAGCATTGTGAAAAGGTATCTTGCCAGGGCTCAGAAACGTGAAAACAGGTCAAARGTCAAGTTCTCTATCAACAGGCACATCTAAATCTAAGGCAAAGGGCATTGTCAAAAGACTTACCTGTTCACCAGGAGATGTGTATGTCATGTCTGTTCGAGTAAGGGTGTGTTTGTACGTGTAGGCAGTGTACTTGTTCGTGCAATGGAAAGTGCCTGTTCAAGTAGTAAATGTGTCTGTTCGTTTAGAGTTGTGCCTGTCCGAAAGTGAAGTCAGTAGGCACAGTCCCAGTTCTGGTCTAAGTCAAGGGGTCAGTCCAGATCCAGACTTTCAAATCCAAATCCAGGCCGAAGTGCCTCAGCAGCAGTTGAATCTCATTGGGACTGTACTGGGACACATGCAATGCAGGGTCTGGGACAAAGGGAAAGGCTGAATTGAGCCAATGCAGACCCAGCGAGGAGTGGCCAGCACTATAAAAAGAGCTGCCTGCCTCATTCCTCGTGAGATCGCCACTGGCTGCAATGCGTGGAAGTGCTGGTGCACTTGTGCGCTGAGTCAGGAGGAGCAGCGCTGGAGGAGAAGACGCGCTGGAGGGAGGAAGATGCCTGTACGCTGGAAGTGATGCAGCCATAGCTGCCCAGYGAGTTAGCATTAGTAKTAGAGGGTTAGTATGTAGCTATGAGTAGTATCCAGAGTAGATCCTCATGAGTATTGAAGAGTGTGTATGCATCATAGGAGGAAGGGATTGAGCCTGAGAGTGTTCATTCAAGGTTGGCTATGGAAGATACTTACCTGAGTTGGATGTGACCTGCAGAGGTGGCACTGATGAGTGGTGACCACATTGATGACTTGGAGACTATCTGCAGGGGTAGCACAGATTCACTGGAAGGCATATTGATGAGTTGGCAAGATATTGGTGTTGCGCTGATGAGCGCTGGACTCAGGGGAACTTGAAACACTTTGTATTCATATTTCTGATAATAAAAACTGTGAAACTCGGTCCTCATCTTCTCTATCTTTGTCTATTGTCAGACTACTGTTCATTGTGTGTGGGAGTACGATGCATGGCATGTACACACTTGCGTGAGATGGTCCCCAGGACCCATGCAGTTTCAACACCTACACACCTATACATACTAAGAGTTTGCCAAGTCATAATGCAGTTGCCAATTCCTGGCCTCGTATAACAAGGTACGAGATTGTGCACTTGGCACTTCTACTCAAGCTGACAAGAGGAGGAGGAGGAGGAGGAGGAGGAGATGGATGAACGGAGAAGGCAATTGCAATCAACACCGCACACATATGCACACCTGCACTGATTTCTGGC